TAGCTTCAGTTGAAGGATGTTTGTGAAAACTCCCTGAGAATTCCAGCATAAATGGTAGGAATGTACAATGAGGTTTGGAAAAAATCTGATGTGTACATAACCAACCAGGGGAGTAATATTTTCAAGAGGGCATTCGAAATGGAAAAAAAAAAGAGAAAGTTATTGTGTTAACATTTTCCGACACACAGCTGCCACCCTGTTTAATATACCAAATGGACTTCCATTTGTCATAACCTGCATTTGTGTCCATTTCCATTCTTAACTGCTTCCCAACCGCCCTATAGCAGAAATACTGCTACAGGGCAGCATGGGTGCGCAAAATCACGTATACAGTATCTCATGGAAGTGAGTATACCCCTCATATTTTTGTAAATATTTTATTCTATCTTTTCATGTGACAACACTGAAGAAATGACACTTTGCTACAATGTAAAGTAGTGAGTGTACAGCTGGTATAACAGTGTAAATTTGCTGTCCCCTCAAAATAACTCAACACACAGCCATTAATGTCTAAACTGCTGGCAACAAAACTGAGTACACCCCTACGTGAAAATGTCCGAATTGGGCCCAAAGTGTCAATATTTGTGTGGCCACCATTATTTTCCAGCACTGCCTTAACCCTCTTGGGCATGGGGTTCACCAGAGCATCACAGGTTGCCACTGGAGTCCTCTTCCACTCCTCCATGATGACATCATGGAGCTGGGGGATGTTAGAGACCTTTCGCTCCTCCACCTTCTGTTTGAGGATGCCCCACAGATGCTCAATAGGGTTTAGGTCTGGAGGCATGCTTAGCCAGTCCATCACCTTTACGCTCAGCTTCTTTAGCAAGGCAGTGGTCATCTTGGAGGTGTGTTGGGGTTATTTTGGAATACTGCCCTGCGGCCCAGTCTCCAAAGGGAGGAGATCATGCTCTGCTTCAGTATGTCACAGTACATGTTGGCATTCATGATTCCCTCAATGAACTGTAGCTCCCCAGTCCCGGCAGCACTCATGCAGCCCCAGACCATGACACTTCCACCACCATGTTTGAAATGTTAGGCAAGATACACTTGTATTTTACTCACGTGGTTGCCGCCACACACGCTTGACATCATCTGAACCAAATAAGTGTATCTTGGTCTCATCAGACCACAGGACATGGTTCCAGTAATCCATGTCCTTAGTCTGCATGTCTTCAGAAAAATGTTTTCAGGCTTTCTTGTGCATCATCTTTAGAAGAGGCTTCCTTCTGGGACAACAGCCATGCAGACCAATTTGATGCAGTGTGCAGCGTGTGGTCTGAACACTGACAGGCTGACCCCCCACCCCTTCAACCTCTGCAGCAATACTGGCAGCACTCACATCTATTTCCCAAAGACAACCTTTGGATAGGATGTGGAGCATGTGCACTCAACTTCTTTAGTCGACCATGGCAAGGCCTGTTCTGAGTGGAACCTGTCCTGTTAAACCACTGTATGGTTTTGACCACCGTACTGCAGCTCAGTTTTCAGGGTTTTGGCAATCTTCTTATAGCCTAGGCCATCTTTATGTAGAGCAACAATTCTTTTTTTCAGATCCTCAGAGAGTTCTTAGCCATGAGATGCCATGTTGAACTTCCAGTGACCAGTATAAGAGAGTGAGAGCCATAACACCAAATTTAACACACCTGCTCTCCGCTCACACCTGAGAACTTGTAACACTAACGAGTCACATGACACCGGCAAGGGAAAATGGCTAATTGGGCCCAATTTGGACATTTTCACTTAGGGGTGTACTCACTTTTGTTGCCAGCAGTTTAGACATTAATGGCTGTATGTTGAGTTGTTTTGAGGGGATAGCAAATTTACACCACTATGCAAGCTGTACACTCACTACGTCACATTGTAGCAAAGTGTCATTTCTTCAGTGTTGTCACATGAAAAGATTTACAAAAATATGAGGGGTGGACTCACTTCTCTGAGATACTTTATATACGTGATTTTGCATTCCTGGGTAGGGGCACGTGCGCCCTACCCGTGCCGCCATTCGCAGCCGCAGCTGTCAATCACCGGGTCCCGGTGATTGCCTTGCATCTCCGAAGGAGAGGAGTACTGTTTGTAAACAAAACAGATCTCCTCCCTGTCAGCTCGTGCACACTGCTTTGGATAGCAGCACAGCCATCCAAAGCAGTGTGCTCACAGTGAAGCACACGGACACAGCGTATAGTAAAATAGCACACAGTTAACCCTTTGATCACCCCTCATGTTAACCCCTTCCTGCCCAGTGCCATTAGTACAGTGTCAGTGCTTTTTATTTAGCACTAATCACTGTATTTGTGTCACTGGGGATGTCAGTGACACCAAGTGAGTTCCCCCCTAGTGTCACAATGCCTACCGCAGTCCCGCTATAAGTTGCTGATCACTGCCATTACTAGTAAAAAATAAATAAATTCCAATATCTATACCGTCATTTGTAAACGCTATAACTTTCATGTAAACCAATTAATTTACACGTATTGGGATTTAGTTTTTTAGCAAAGACATGGCAGAATACATTTTAGACTAAATTTATGATGAAATTAGATTTTTAAAATATTTTTACTGGACATGTTTAATAGCAAAAAGTAAAAAATATATTTTCTCAAAAATGTCTTTTTTTTATAGCGCAAGAAATAAAAAGCACACAGGCGATCAAATACCACCGAAAAAAAGCTCAATTCGTGGGAAAAAAGGATATCAATTTCATTTGGGTACAGCGTTGCATCACCGCACAATTGTCAAAGTAACGTAAAAAATGGCCTGGTCGGGGGGGGGGGGGGGGGTAAATCCTTTGGAGGGCAAGTGGTTAAATGGCATGGCTATAGTTACAAGTGTATGATTGTACCTTCATAGTTTCCCAGTCAGTACTCACACAAAATTAAGCTGCACACCATGATCCCAGACCACTCAGCAAGATATAGAAAAAAACACTTTTATTAGCTGAAATAAAAGGCTACATGTTACTGTTGTGTATCAAGGGACCCTTTCTCATAATTTGCTTTTAACTACGAACAGCATTTCATTACAATACTTTTCAGTTCAGTAAGAAATAATCCATCCAACTTGGTCACAGTTTAAAATAAAATAGAAAATAAAACTGCAGTCAGTGGCACCGCCACTGCTTTTATACTTTTAAACACAATTTTCTTTTTTTTTTTCTTTTTTTACAATCAGAGCAATTCCCTATATGGCTTCCAATGTACTGAGATAAGAACATTTTGTAACATAACTCTGCTTACAGTCATATATTGATTTGCTGGTAGCATAAAAGACTTTAGGCAGCTTGGATATCTAGTAGAGAAAAATGTCCTGAGAATGAAAGAAGTTGATTTTAAAAATCAGAAGAGCGGCTACGTCTGATGTTATATAAAAGTGAATACAATATTTTCTTAAAGAAATGCAATTGCTTGGGATAGATTGTCATTTCTAAATAAGCAGAGTGGTATATTTTCTACGGTCATTGCAGTTCCCTTGTATGCAAGCTGCTGTACCATTGTATGCATATTTTGTGGTCAGTAAAACAGGTGGTAAGGTGAAAATCACACGAAAGGGGTAATTTTTAAGTTGTAAGGTAAAAAAAAAATAACAGTTGTGCACCATAAATAATATATGTGCTTAAAAGAAAAAAAAAAACAAGAGTTCTCCCTTCAGTAGAATTGTATCTACAAAAAAACTGCTGAACCAATGTAAACAGCAGAGTAAAATTATTTTCTGCTGTAAATCAAAAAAGGGAGTGCATTCAGGCTTCTTCAGCAGAACTCAATTTCTAACCTAACCCAGAGATTTTAATAAAGTCATTGACACAGGTGATCTAGCTAGGCTTCCATACTTCTCTCTGCCCTGAAGTCATTGCTTTTCAACTGCAGTCCTTATGACCAGCCATTACTTTTCATGTCTCCTCAGGTATCCAAAATTACCTAGTGCATTTAGTTTTTGAAAAAAAGCTACTTCTTACATGGATGTGTTGCAAAACATGCACTACTAGAGGTTCCTGAGGTTTTATCATTGAACTAACAGGGATTGGTAACAAATGCTAAATATTGTTTTGACACTATTTTGGATGACTTAGAAATAATTTGATAAACTCAACTACAGTACATTACAAAAGGGAGAATTCAGCCCAACCAAAAACCAAGTTATATTTCATATTTAATTGGAAGCAGGTGAAAAACTCAAGTAGCAAATATGTATACTTTCCATTAAGTTTAGCAGTAATGATATAAACTGGAACAAAAATACATGTAGATATATATACAATTTCATATGCCCCCCCCCCCCCCCCCCCCAACACATTAAAGGTAAACATAATAAATATATTTATATATATTTGTATAAACACAGATCATAAGTTGTTAGTGACAAGTTTATAGTTGAAAAATGTAGCCTCCCTTGCTTTGACTGTTTTAAAAATGCATGTTGTTGACATATAACATAAATAAGGCGATTAAATTAAATACACGGCCTGACTATGAGAACATGTACTAATGAGACCAATTTATCTCATGCCAATGTGTTTTTTTTTTCCCCACTTTGTTTAAAGGTAGACTTGCTTTGGAAATATTTACACTTGACTGTTATGCAACACACAAAAAACAAGTAAAAAGATGATTTAGTGCCTTTTACATACACATTCAAAATATTATATACATAAAAGGAGCAATACAGGTCTCGACCAGTTTAAAAAACACTGGTAATTACAAAAAAAAAAAAGTCAGACTCTTAGCAACTGCTCTTTCCGCAAAATGAGGTAATTTAACGTGTAAAGTTGATACGGTTTGGATTTGGTGCTATTCAACGTTTACCAACTTCACACTTTGCAACTGCTGAAAGGGGTGTCTAAAGACAGTCAGTCAGGTATATATTCTGTACAGTACAACCGAGAGTCGTATTACAATCCAGTTACATCTTAAACTGTAGTGCTTCTGTTCACATGGACACACATGTAACAAACGTCCAATTATTTTTGATCCCTGGTATGGAATAAGAAGACACTGAGTGCTGCATTACAAATTGGTTTCATCCCATGAGGGATCATTCATATTCTTTAGGACTTTTCTGATGAGCTTTTCAAGATCTTTTCTAGCTCGCTGTTCTTCCTCTAAAGACTTCTTCATCTTTTTACTGTCCTGTAGATTATATTAAAGAATTAGTTTACAAATTCAAAAATTGGCTTTAATTATGTTTTTTTTTTTTACACCAAGGGTATATGCAACTTAGAAATATACATTAATCATAACCTAACCAGTCAATTTAATTGCATAGCATCCTTTAAATTTACAAATATAGTGCAAGAGCTTGCCATATTAGATACAAATTAAATGGTTCTTTAGGATAGGTCCTCAAACTACACTGCTGAACTAAATCTAAAAGAAATGTGTGCTGTCAGCTTAAAGTGATTCTAAATGTTCTAATAATATTTAAAAAAACAAAAAACACGTTATACTTACCTGCTTTGTGTAATACTTTTGCATAGAGCAGCTCTGATTTTCTTCTTTGTGGGTCCTCCGATAGTGCTCCTGGCTCCTCCTCCCTGCTAAGTGTCCTCAATAACAAGCCTCTAGCTAGAGGACACTTGAGCAGGCTCACTCCCAAGCTGCACTCCTGTGAATGGACATGGTCCATTCACACAGAGCGTGGTTTGGTCCCATCCCCCGCTCTATCCTCATTGGCTCACTAGATGTGATCGACAGCAGCAGCCAATGGCTCCTGCTGCTGTGTGAGCCAATTAGGAGAGAGAGACCTGGGAGAGCCGCAGCTCTCATGTACATCGCTGGATCGAGATGGGGCTCAGGTAAATATGGGGAGGGGAGTTAAAGGGAGGGGGGCTGAGGGGGGAGCTGCACCCAGGTGGTTTTTTTACCTTAATGCACAGAATGTATTATAGTGGTAGTAAACTCTTTCATGCTAGTTTTACCTACAGGTAAGCTTATAATAAAGCTTACCTACAGCTAAAACGAACATATCCTAAACCATGCACCATTTAAAAAATATTCCAGCGAGTGTCACTGGTGCATGCGCTTTGAAGGGATGGCCTTCCTGGAAGGAAGACCTGGTGAAGGAAGCCCGGTCAGCGGTGACAGCGCACCGCTGGAGGGCTTCATTTTAAGGTAAGTCGCTCATAATACTAGTATATTATAATATCTGCAGGGAGAATTTTGAATTTTTTTTTCTTTGCATAAGGAAAGTTTACTACCACTTTAAGGTAAAAAAAAACCTTCTGCCTTTCGAACCACTTTAAAGTATAACTAATTTTAATAATAAAATTATAACAATTTTGGATAAAACCTCTAGTATGATAAACCTCTGTCTTTGCCATCTGTGTCTCATTAGGGAGATTTCCTTTAACTTCATGTCCTGCAGACTCAGCAAGAAGTGAGAGCATAACTTACCCATTATGAGAGAAATCCCCTCTTCAGCAGCTGTCTTGGGAACAAGTGTTCCCTTTGGAAGATTTTTACCCTCTATTCCAGTTCTAGTGGCAACTCAAAATTTTGGATTTACCTTCACTTTCATTCCCCGAGATATTGGTGGTCAGGGCTATTTTAGAGAGTGAATCTCCCTAACAGGGACACATGTGGCAATAAAACACAGTTGATACAAAAGAGAGCTATATTAAATAGAGATTTGGTGCAGATTCTAAAACAACTGGATTAGGAATGGAACAGAAAGGGAGTAAAAGGTGAATAGTAAGGGGAAAGGGTTAATGGGAAAGGGGGAAAGTGAAAGAAAGTTTTAAAGAACAGACTTTGTAGGATCAATATAACTAGAGTTCACTGAAATACCAAACATCACGTTTGTCAAAGTACTAAAGCAAGAGGATCAGCGTTTTCAGGAGGAGACCATTCTTAAAAAATTCTCGGACAGATATTTAACTGTACAGAAAAACAGCTACCACACTAGACTGCCCTAAAAGTAATCACGGTAAATACCTTAAGAATTTTGGACAACAAGCTGTTACCTTTTAAGTGTAATAAATTATTTAATAATGTATTAAAGCATACAGACCTGTTTTAGCTCCTGAACTTCATCTTTTAACGCATACACTGTGTCAACAAGACTCCTTGAAGATAAACACACATTGTATAGCAATGTCAAAATCTTTGAAAGCTTTAAATAATATATGAAGGTATATCATTTTGTAAGTTGTTGCGCAAACTGTTGGCGCTATATAAATCATGTATTATAATAATAAATGCTAAATAAACCATTTTTATAATAGTGTGAATTTCTAATGAGTGCTTTCAGAGCATAAGCAGTCTTGCATAAAACAGGATTTTGCCTTTGAAGTACATTTTCTTGGAGTACATTACAGGGCATAAGATGAAATATTCTGGAACCACCAATGGGTTCTACTACCACCTTCAGGAGAATTTGATGGAGGCAAAGCAAAGCTGTAAGGACTGCACAGTATAACCTCTCCTACTCCCAGCATGCCTCAATTTAGTAGCAAGCAATCATGGGAGTGTATGATAAGAACAGAGTATGATAAGAAAAGAGGAGTTTTGACTTGCCTGTAAATTCCCCATCTTGAATAATACAGGACATAGGCAAAGTATTCATAGAACCTAGGTACAGGCTCGCACTTTTAGGTGACTGGACTAGCAAAACTTTCAAGGACATGCCCTCTGGGTACCTTCCTTATAACCCTACCCCATTTTGTGAGTCCTCAGTTTTGTAGCAAACAATGCAGAAAAACCAAGGAATGGAAGGAAGGGTGCCTTATATTCTGTGATTTGCTGGATATGGAATTTACTAGCAAGTCAAAATACCTCTTACCTTAATCTTACAGTAAAGAACACAGGTTAGTAAAATAGAAGGGAGGGTGTCCTGTACTGCACTCCAAGATTTGGAATTTACAGGTAAATCAAATTTTATCTCATCCTAATCATGAGGTAGATGACACAGGCAGAATATTTAAACACCATGGGACATCCCCAAGCAATTAATATGAAGGGTGGGAAACAACAAGGCAAACAGAACTGTGACAACGGGCCCAACAAGAGTCAAAAGACCCAATCTCAGAAAGCTGCTGAGAAAACCTTGCAACCAAAATCTATATCAGTAGACTGGATGTCCACCTAGGAAAACTTTGAAAATGTATGCACAGAAGACCATGTGATGGCCTTACACAGTTGGGCTACTGAGGCTTGGTAATGAAACGTACTTGAGAAACCCACCAGTGCAGGAGCAGATTTCTCTTTGAGAATGTAAGCAATTTTAACTTTTTTTTATCTTAATAAATAAGTTACAACACTATGAGAGTTCCCTCTCCCCCTCTGGTTTTTACTATTAGAAGCGGTACTGGCATCATCTTTAGCCATACACCTCACTTCAGTGGATCACAATGAAAATTTTGAAGAAGATGGGAGTCCACAAAGGAGAAACCCCTCACCAGAAAAAGCACATCAGACTCTTATGCTTAACAGCAGAGGATCCATCTGGTCTGGTGAGTGCGGAGAAAGGAGGGGCACTGGTCACCAAGCACATTGTGGTTCTATGCAGTAAACCACAATGGCATAGTCTGGTTGCACCCTACCTGGGTGACCCTTCAGAAGAGGGTTTCAGTATTGTAGAGCCAACCTGGCTACTCTGAGCTCAAAAATGTTGATGAGAAGCTTGGCTTCTCTCAACAGCCATGGTTTTTGGGCTGTTGGAAATGGAACACTCCAATCCAGCCTGAGAGATTGCATCTGCTGTGATCACTTTCCAGTGATAGGAAAGGAAGGACTGCCTCACTCTCAGGGTGGTGGTCCACCAAGATAGGGAGTTCCCTGCTTGGTTGAGCAGGAGTATTAGAAAATCAAAAGGAAGGAGCATGTTTGTTGAAGGCTGACGATATTTTACTGAAGAATTCCTGAATGGAATTGGGAGAATTGTATTGCTTCCAAGGAGGCTACCATCAGGATTAGAACTCTCATGGAGAATCTCAATGTGGGATAACTCTTCTCAGATTCTCAGGATTCGAGGATGTGCTCCTAGAGAAATATTTTTTTTCTGGTAGACATTTGCTTGGGATGTGTCCAGGGTCAGACCAAAGTATTCCAGGAAAGGCTGGTGCAACAGATCTGACTTGTGAACATTTTCTGATATATAAAAGTAAGATGAGTGCTTCAAAAAAGCTAGTCCAGGTAGGTACAGTGCATCCAGAAAGTATTCACAGCGCTTAACTTTTGACACATTTTGTTATTTAACAGCCTAACAAAATGGATTAAATGCATTTTTTTCCTCAACATTCTACAAACAATACCCCATAATGACAATGTGAAAGAAGTTCGTATTGAAATCTTTGCAATTTATTAAAAATAACAAACGCAAAAAAAAAAAAAAAACACAGGTACATAAGTATTCACAGCCTTTGCTCAATACTTTGGTGCTAAGGTTGCTTCAACAATTACAGCCTCAAGTCGTTTTCAGTATGATGCTACAAGCTTGGCACACCTATTTTTGGGCAATTTCTCCTATTCTTCTTTACAGTACCTCTCAACCTCCATCAGGTTGGATGGGGAGCGTCGGTGCACAGCCATATTCAGCTCTCTCCAGAGATGTTCAATCGGGTTCAAGTCTGGGCCACATCAGCACATTCAGAGTTGGTTCGTAGCCTCTTCTTTGTTATGTAGGCTGTGTGCGTAGGGTCGTTGTCCTGTTGAAAGATGAACAGTTTCCCCAGTCTAAGGTCCAGAGCGCTCTGGAACAGATTTTCATCAAGGATGTCTCTGTACATTGCTGCATTCATCTTTCCTTTGGTCCTGACTAGTCTTCCAGTTCCTGCTGCTGAAAAACATCCCCAAAGCATGATGTTGCCACCACCATGCTTCATTGTAGGGATGGTATTGGCCAGGTGGTGAGCAGTGCCTGGTTTCCTCCAGACCTGACACTTGGCATTCAGGCCAAAGAGTTCAATCTTTGTTTCATAAGACCAGAGAGTTTTGTTTCTCATGGTCTGAGAGTCCCTCAGGTGCCTTTTGGCAAACTCCAGGCGGGTTACCATTTTGCCTTTTACCGAGGAGTGGCTTCTGTCTGGACACTCTACCATACAGGCCTGATTGGTGTAGTGCTGCAGAGATGGTTGCTCTTCTGGAAGGTTCTCCTCTCTCCACAGAGAAATGCTAGAGCTCTTTCAGAGTGACCATCGGGTGCTTGGTTACCTCCCTGGCTAAGGCCACACTCCCTCGATCGCTCATTATGGCTGGGCGGCCCGCTCTAAGAAGATTCCTGGTGGTTCCAAACTTCTTCCATTTATGGATGATGGAGGCCACTGTGCTCACTGGGACCTTTAATGCTGCAGAAACCTTTCTGTACCCTTCCCCAGATCTGTGCCTTGATACAATCCTGTCTCGGGGGTCTACAGACAAATCCTTGGACTTCATGGCTTGGTTTGTGCTCTGAATGCACTGTTAACTGTGGGACCTTATATAGAAAGGTTTATGCCTTTCTTAATCATGTCCAATCAACTGAATTTCCCACAGGTGGACTCAAATCAAGTTGTGGAAACATCTCAAGGATGATCCGTGGGAACAGGATGCACCAGAGCTTAATTTTGAGTGTCATGGCAAAGGCTGTAAATACTTATGTACATGTATTTTTTTTTTTTCGTTTTTTATTTTTAATAAATTGCAAAGATTTCAAAACAAACTTCTTTCACGTTGTCATTATGAGGTATTGTTTGTAGAATGTTGAGGGAAAAAAATGAATTTCATGCATTTTGGAAAAAGGCCGTAACATAACAAAATGTGGCAAAAGTTAAGCACTGTGAATACTTTCTGGATGCACTGTAGGTGGGACTTGGATGCCCTGAGTTCTGAGCAGGGCAGACAGTGGCACTAAAACCTTTGTGAAGCCTCTGGGAGCAGAGGATAGGCCGTGCAAAAAACTGGAAGTTTTTGCCTGCCAATGCGAAGTGCAGAATGTGTAGATGAAGTGGGTACATGGAAACATATGGATAATCATGTGGATGTCCACAGATGCCACATATTCCCCTTGTCTCAAACCGTTACTAATCTTGCGGATTCCATGCGCAATATTGGAAGCTGTAGGAATTTGTTGAGGAACTTTAAATCCAGAATAGGCTGAATACCCAGATTAGGCTTAGATTCTGTTAACATGTTTGAGTAGAAAACTCTGAATAAATGAGTAGAAAACTCTGTCTTGTAGCTGGTCTGGAACAATGACCCCCTGGGACAAGAGGTGGTTTAGATTACTTTGCAAATCTAACTGTCTTTGGGCAGTTTTTGGTTGATTTAAAAGAAGACAGTGGTTAGGTGGTAGAGCTTTGAACTCTATTTTGAACCCTTTTAAAACTACTGACTGAACCCACAGGTCTGGGGTGTCTGTGACCTAGAGAGAGGAAAACTGTAACAGACACCCTCCCCCTACTCTTAGGCGTAAGGGTGTACTTTCATGGTAAAACTTGGGGAAGACTTGGTAGCCTTGGTGGTCCAAGTCTTACACCAAAAGGGAAGGCTGAACTTTATGGTTTTGAGTTGAAGCCTGATTACAGCGGACAGGTGCTCTGCATTTTGAAGAGCAAGGGGCTCCTGAAGGTGTTTCTGGGACCTTCTGCTGTGGAAATAAAATCTTCCCACCTATGATCTCTTTGATAAAATTTGTCAAGAACAAACCTCTTCATTGGCATAAGTGTGTGATGTGTCTTTTGCAGACAGCTTCAGCTGTCCCAGCTTTCAGCCATAAGATTCTGTGCATGTGAATAGGGCTTAGAGCCATTCTGGAAATTTGTCTCATGACATGTTCTAGGACATCTACCCAGAAATACAGGGTCACGTTAATTGTTCACTGTCTTAGTCCAGTTAGCTGTAGTTTGACAAAGTGAATTGCAGCCAAAGCTGGTAGCAGGGCTGGGCTTCAAAATTAAAGAGAGCTTTAGAAAAGTCTCAAATTTCCTATCTGCAGAATTTATGAAAAAAGGAATAATTACAATAGGTACAGTGAGATGTTTGTTTAGGATAGAGACAGCAGGATCAATTCCAGTTGAGAAATGGAAGGAGCAGAGGCGTGGCCTTTTAGAGCCTTGAAAATAGCTATATTAAAGTGTTACTAAACCCA